CAACCATGGACCAGGCATCGTGGCTCAATCTGGGTAAGGGCTGTTTTTATGGTCCGTGTCTCTAAGCCGGGGCCAATAGCTCCTTGGAGCCGTGTGACAAGGAGAGGGAAGCTGCTCTTTGCACCCTCCAGCTCCAGTTGGGAAAAAAATATTTTCTTTTCCATTGCGTAATGCTTCCAGTGGCGACAAACCCAACACCACTGACAGGAGATAAAAGCCCTGTGGGTGTGAGTGAGGAGAGAGAGAGGCTGCGTGTCTGTGTAGGGTACGTGGGCAGGCAAGTGTGAGCGGCAGGGCCAGCCAGCCACACGTGGCTCCTCCGACAAGCAGTGGAAGGAAAAACAAGGTCTGACTAAAATCAGAGCCAGTGCGTTCCACCAGCAAGGCCCCTTCATTTGTCTCTGAGGATGTGGTCTGAGCCGAAGGGGACAGTCGGGGCAAAACACAAGGGGTTAAACATCGCCCACCCAGCCCAGCCAGGCCCCCTCCGCAGGGCTGCAGCAAGGGGCCCAGAAGAGGAGAGGAGGCCACGCTTTGGAAGCCTCGAGGGGCTGCGCGGGTATGAGAGGCTGGCACGCAGGTCTCGCCGTCAGAACGAGCGTGGTTGGCCAAGGCCTCAGGAACCTGCGGGGAGGCCCAGCTCACCCTAGGACTTGGAGAAGTGGCCTGCCCTCAGCTCCTAGCTTCCTCTCCTGTCATGTGGGGACAGCAACTGAAGCTCGAATACAGCTGCCTCAGGTCCCCGAGAGGCCAGACATCAACGGGCTTAGCAAACTGTACAGAACCTGGCACGTGCAGGCTGAGACAGTGGGGCTGGGGCAGTTGACACAGGCTGGCTCTGTAAGGCTCACCTTTGGCCCACGAATTCCACCTGAGGGGAGCTAGCCTAAGGAAATAACCCTAAGTAAAGAAAAGAACCTTTATGCATGAGGGTATTCATCACAGTGTAATTGATGATTGTAGGAAAAAACAGAAAGCATCTAGGTAGCTGAGAACACAGAAATGATAAGATGAACTAAGGTTCATCTACTCAATGGAATCAGTCCAAAAATTTTCAAACACTGTGATTACACAGAAAACGGTGATGAGTGACATTAACTGAAAAAGTCATAATACAGATCTACTTGTACTACTTCTTTCATTTTTGAGCTTAAGCTGAAATGAAGGTTTGATTTCATAGGCTGATATATAAAAAAGACTCACTCAAAATGCTTTAAATATGTAGTATAACTCCTACTTTGCTTAAATTTTCAAAAAGCTACGTGCTGGGAAGATATTAGAAGATAATCAGAGAATTAACAGTAATGATATTTATGTAGTAATAAAGGGATAACTTTTTTTCTATTTTAATGTAGTTTTCAGATTTTTTTTTATGAATGACTGTTACTTTAAAAATAGAAAAATAGGGCTTCCCTGGTGGCGCAGCGGTTGAGAGTCCCCCTGCCGATGCAGGGGACACAGGTTCGTGCCCCGGTCCGGGAAGATCCCACATGCCACGGAGCGGCTGGGCCCGTGAGCCATGGCCGCTGAGTCCGCGCATCCGCAGCCTGTGCTCCGCAGCGGGAGAGGCCACAACAGTGAGAGGCCCGTGTACCGCTAAAAAAATAAAATAAAAAAAATAAAAAATAAAATAAAAATAGAAAAATAAGCAAACGTACTGTAACAGCAGTTTGAGTACAGAAGGGTAACACTTATGCTTCAGAAAGGGGAGGGGAAAAGAGGCTTCAATGCACAGAAAGAAACAACCTGGAGTTTGGGGGCAAACACCTGACAGGACCTCCTGAGACATGACTCAGGGGAACACAAGCTTTTCTGACCCAGCTCTCCTGGGCAAGACCAAGGGTTTATGATCCACCCACATCCCACTCTCACTTTCCCAGAGGAAAAAGAACACTGTAAAAGAAACAAAATAAACCAAAATAGCAAGAATGCAGCAATTACACAAGAACAAAACAATCAACAAAGCACAAAACAGGGGCTCCCCTGGTGGCCCAGTGGTTAAGAATCCGCCTGCCAATTCAGGGGACACGGGTTTGAGCCCTGATCCGGGAAGATCCCACATGCCGTGAGGCAATTAAGCCCATGTGCCACAACTACTGAGCCTGCGCTCTAGCGTCCACAAGCCACAACTATTGAGCCTGTGCTCTACAGCCCGCGAGCCACAACTACTGAGCCTGCATGCTGCAACTGCTGAAGCCCGTGCGCCTGGAGCCCATGCTCTACAACAAGAGCAGCCACTGCAATGAGAAGTCTGCGCACCGCAACAAAGAGTAGCCCCTGCTCGCCACAACTAGAGAAAGCCTGCATGCAGCAACGAAGACCCAACACAGCCAAAAATAAAAATAAATTAATTTAGAAAAAAAAGCACAAAACAACAGCAATTTCTATGACTGAAAACAATGAATACAAAAAAGGCAGCAATAAAGAGCCATGACACACTCAAGACAGCACTAATGGTGCTGGAAAACAAAGCATCCTTCCGAAAACTGCAAGAATTCCAAAAGATCTGCCTGGTAGGAGCTCTGCAACACTGCCAAGTGTTGTGCAGCAGCCAGACTGCTCGGTGGAAACACCCAAACTCCGAGGGGAACTCCAGGACTGTGCGTTTTATTTTATGATTATCAAACTTTAGTTAACTCCTAATAACGTGCTTCTTAGGAAGTGGACTTTGAGTGGATGTAAAAATGAACCTCTGGCAGTGAATCATTTGCCTAAAGAACCCAAGAAAAGAGTCCGTGTTTGGGTCAGCACATCTCACACAGCTCCTTCCCCACCCCCTGACATCGGGCCCTCAGAGCCCACAGATCACCTGGAGGGACACCTATGATCTGATCTACTGCATGGACAGCAAAGCTCCAGGCAAAGCCTCTTCTCCGCAGGCATGGCCCCAGGGGCAAGGCCAGGCTCTGGGACAGGGCAGAGTGAGCGAGGCAGAGGGGCAGCGAGCTGGGTCCCTAACTCTTGTCATCTGCACTTACAGTTCACAGCCTGGTCCACGCCAGGGCTGTGAGGCAGAAGTATCTTCTCTGTCCTGACAACCCTCTCCCTCTGGGTGCCCCAAAGCAAAACCTGGCCTAGAGTTTAGCATATGATGGACAGAGACCTACCAGCTGATGAGGAAAGGAGGGAGAAAGAGGGAAGGGAAGGTCAGGCGCGCCTCCTCCCAGATCTCCCAGTCCTTTGCCAGTTCTTCTGTCACAGAGCTTCATTCAAGGCCAATTGTGCATGCGAGACAACAGGACTGGGCAGCCCCTAAGGCCCATCTAGTCAAGACGTTTCAAAGTGCAAGTTTAACCACGAAACCTTTTGCCCAAATAGAATCCTGCTCCCAAGCCTGATCTACAGAGTGATCAAGATGGACCGCTAGGAGTGAGGTGGGGATGGGAGAGAGAGGCAGGGAAAGGGTAGACCCCTCTTCCTTCTCTCCCCAGAACTACAGAATCCCATAGGAGATTCCCATAACCCTGGACTCTTCACTAGTTCAGACTCCTCATTTCTAGGTGGGGAAACTGAGGCCTCAGCAAAGACACACAGGGGTTAGAGGGAGAGCTGGGACCAGCACCCACGTCTGTCTTCTCCCCTGGAATCCAGGAGAGGAGGAGCCACACCTTCCTCCAGTCTGAGAGGCCCACGGCACCTGCACAGGGCCTGCCCAGAGAGATCACACCTGCCCACCTGAGGGGAGAGAAATAACTGCTCATCACTCAACTCCTCGGTCAGCTCTCATGTGTAACCTCCAGGGCTATGGCAGAGGGGGGGAGACTTGGGGAGCTGACCGAGCTGCACCTGGTCTCCTCACAGAATCACAAATGCCAGCTCTCCTCCCCGTGCCCTTTAGGTGAGTTTGTCCCCCCTCTCCTTCAGACCTGAGCTCACTGAAGCTCCCTGAGCTCTTGCCTTACAGCTAAGAGAACAATCAGAGGCCTCTGTGGTGCAGGAACTTGCCCTACGGAGACGAAGTCCCAGCCAAAACGGTGGGCTAGATCTTCCTGTGCTCTGACAACCTGCCAACAGGAGCCCAGCCTCATCCTCTGACTCCTGGGTTCCTGCTTCACCAGGAATTCAAATGGTGGTGCTCCTGACTCCTCTCCCACCCTGGGCTGCTGGGCTTGAGCAGCGGGCCTCCACCAAGCGGCCGGGCTGGCCCCTCAGCTGTCAGGTCCTGTCCAGTCTGGGAACCACAGAAAACTCAACTAGTCACAGTTTGGATAGCTGCTACCCCCAGACCCCAGAACTCCCCTCGTCACCCCTAAAATGCTCAGCTCATGGTTCACCGCAGCCAGAAATGGCAGCTGGGGGCAATACCCAGCGCTCCAGAATCAATCATGGGCAATTCGGAGGAAATGAACCCAGAAGTCTGGAACACCCCATGAATAAGACCCTCACCCCCTTCAAGTCCTCTAATCCAAGGATAACCTACCAGCACTTCCACACAAGGCCAACCTACCACAGATCAGACAATCACATCTCTTCTGCCCTGGAGGGACTAAAGCCCAGAAAATACTTTAACCATGCATCAGCGTTTCAGAAAAAGTCTTATTACTAAGTCATAATTTGCACCTCTAACACCTATAGATTTGATATTTTAAAGTCAGATAAGTACAGGTTCAAACCAGAAAAAGCAGGATCAACAGACTGGGATGGAGGGTTATCTAGTCCAACCTGCCATTTTACAGATAAGCAAACTGAGTCCCAGAGGGGGCTGCGTATAAGGAGCAGAATCCGAACTGGAGCCCAGATGCCCCAATCCAGGGACTCCACACTGCACAACTCACACCGTGAACTTGTGAATGGACTCCAGGAGCTGTGCAGCCCAGGGCCCTGCCCTAGAGTCTCTGTGCGGGAAACTCTGCACATAGAGGGCTTGGCTGGCCCCCTCGCCCTCTCCCTCGTGTTGGAGTGGAGCTCTTCTCTCTGATACGGGACACCAGCAGTATTGGGGCCAGGAAAACAGATGCAAGGTCACACCCCAGGGTATACTGCCCCGCAGCTCAGGTTACCTTTGGGCATGATCTGATGCATGGCCACTGAAAGGAAGAAGATGGAGTCGCTGTAGTAGGTCCCGGAGCCGGCACTGAAGTGCTTCTGCATGGCCTCCACGACGGGGAAGAGCCTGTCCGTCAGCACACCGACGTCATGGAAGACAACCTGCAGAAGGGCACAGGAAATGGCGGAAGTGAGTACCCTACCCGGGCACCCGGCACGCGCGTCGGCTGAGGAGGGGGCAGACCTCTCCAGGGCCCATGAGCAGGGGGCCCACGAGCATAGGACTTGGAATCCCTAAGAGCTAACGAAACAGGGAGCAGTGGGGAGTCCGCAGAGGCTGGCTATGGGGACGGGGATGCCGAGTGTGAGCGTGTGCAGGCAGACACGTGGGGTGTAGTGGAAGAGGACTGCGAGCCTGAATGGGGAATGGGAGCAGCTTCTGAACTTCAAACTGGGCCACCCTGGAGGAAGCTCTGTGCCCAGACTGGAAACCAGGTTAAAGCACGCTCCACTGCACACAAGAGGCGCTCAATAAACGCACCCAGTCTTCAACGCTCACAGACATCTGCTGATGACCTTCCACCTCCCTCTTCCCTGGTGGCTAACAGGACAGGAGGAGCCTGCGAAACGGCCATGAGCTGCTCGGCCGCCACCACCCAGACTCCAGGGCCAAGAACCTGCCTGAACAGGGCGCCGACAGTGAAAGGAGGGGCCTTGCGAGGCCCCATCTGGCTAGCCTACACTCTCAGTGGCCCTGCCCGCAGGAGAAAAGACAGGTGTGGGTGGTGCCCGAGAAGTCCCCAAAGCAGTTAGGCTCCATTTTGTCGCTTACCTCTGCCCTTTCCCTCGACTCTGCCCGGGCCAGCCCACGGTGTCACCCACCCAGCCCACAGTCCCAGAGCCGTCAGTGGTCAGATGGTTGGAATAAGCACCTCTGAAGGCCCTGCAGCGGCCAGCTGCCCCGTCTGCTTCTTCCTAGTTTAGGTTCTGCTTTTGGCCAGAAATCTGTTTTTGTCTTAACTCACTTAAGTGTTTGCTTTTTATCCTCAGATCCACTTAAATTTCTAAAACACTTAGAAAAGTGTTTTAGAAAAGTGTTTTAAAAACTTAAAAAAGAAATATTTTAGGGCTTCCCTGGTGGCACAGTGGTTGAGAGTCTGCCTACCGATGCAGGGGACACGGGTTCGTGCCCCGGTCCGGGAAGATCCCACATGCCGCGGAGCGGCTGGACCCATGAGCCATGGCCTCTGAGCCTGCGCGTCCGGAGCCTGTGCTCCGCAACGGGAGAGGCCACAACAGTGAGAGGCCCGCGTACAGCAAAAAAAAAAAAAAAAGAAATCTTTCATATCCTGTTAGTCCTTATCATTCCCTAGCTGGAACTCTTTAAATTTTTTATCTCTTCATAAAAGTCTTTTTACAACTTCTTGACATTTCCCTTCTAATGCACTATTTTCCTTTATCCTTTTACTGACTGCTTCTTTTCTTCTATTTGACTTTTTCCTTTTTTGTGATCTCTCAGCCTGGGATGGGGACTCCAGACCTGTTCTGCTGTTTCTCAACACAGGTACCAAACTATGGCTTTGGCCTCGTACACCCCACACACCTCACGCACCTGACATCCTGGCTGCACGGGAATCACAAACCCCACAAGCTTTCCCACCTCCTGCCTTGCCCCGCTCCAAGCCAGACTCTGTTGTGCCCCTTGAGTAATTTTCCAAACATACAAATTCACTTCTCTCTCTCCTTGGCTTCAAAACTTCATATGGCTCCTCAGTGCCCTGGGTTACAGTCCAAATGCCCCAGCAAGGCCCTGCACTAGTGGCTCTGGCTACCCCTCAGCTCTCCCTCCCCTGGGGACTGAGCAGAACTGAACCAGGCAGTCCTTACCCTGCCTACCACACCTTGGTGTCCTTTGTCCTTACGTGTTGCACCTGCCCTTTGCATTGTCTGGAACTCATTCTCCCAGCCACCAGCTGCCGGGTGAACTCCCATCCAGTCTTCCAGCCTTGGTAGGCACCCACTCCGGCCTCCCCATGGCCTCCCACAATTCATCACACTGCCCTGCACGCCCTGTGTCATAGGGAAGAAGGCGCCATTTCCTTGTCCGTCTCCTCTGCAGGTCCTGTTTCTGCATCGGTAGGATGGGGCAGTCCTAGAGGCCAGGGGCTGTGACTGCTCTTTGCCCTGGGCCCAACCCCAAGCCATCAGGACAGGTTCGCTGAATTAAATGAGCTGCATTTTGCACAAGTTACTAGACCTCTCGGAGACTCAATTTCTTCATGGATAACACAGTAATGATGACACCTCCATCCCAGGTGGCTGTTAGGACCACTTGGGACAAGCAGATAAAACACCTAGCCCACAGCCTCTTCAATAAGTGGTGCTGGGAAAACTGGACAGCTACATGTAAAAGGATGAATGAACACTCCCTAACACCATACACAAAAATAAACTCAAAATGGATTAAAGACCTAAATGTAAGGCCAGACACTATAACACTATAAAACTCTTAGAGGAAAACATAGGCAGAACACCCTATGACATAAACCATAGCAAGATCCTTTTTGACCCACCTCCTAGAGAAATGGAAATAAAAACAAAAATAAAAATAAATAAAAATAAAAATAAAAAATAAAATGGAAATAAAAACAAAAATAAAAACATTAAAAGCTTTTAAGCTTTTAATGAAACTTAAAAGCTTTTGCACAGCAAAGGAAACCATAAACAAGACGAAAAGACAACCCTCAGAATGGGAGAAAATATCTGCAAACAAAGCAACTGACAGAGGATTAATCTCCAAAATTTACAAGCAGCTCATGCAGCTCAATATCAAAAAAACAAACAACCCAATCCAAAAATGGGCAGAAGACCTAAATAGACATTTCTCCAAAGAAGACATAGATTGCCAACAAACATATGAAAGGATGCTCAACATCACTAATCATTAGAGAAATGCATATCAAAACTACAGTGAGGTATCACCTCACACCAGTCAGAATGGCCATCATCAAAAACTCTACAAACAATAAATGCTGGAGAGGGTGTGGAGAAAAGGGAACCCTCTTGCACTGTTGGTGGGAATGTAAATTGATACAGCCACTATGGAGAACAGTATGGAGGTTCCTTAAAAAACTAAAAATAGAACTACCATACAACCCAGCAATGCCACTACTGGGCATATACCCTGAGAAAACCATAATTCAAAAAGAGTCGTACCACAATGTTCATTGCAGCTCTATTTACAATAGCCAGGACATGGAAGCAACCTAAAAGTGTCCATCGACAGATGAATGGATAAAGAAGATGTGGCACATATATACAATGGAATATTACTCAGCCATAAAAGGAAACGGATTTGAGTTATTTGTAGTGAGGTGGATGGACCTAGAGTCTGTCATACAGAGTGAACTAAGTCAGAAAGAGAAAAAGAAATACCATATGCTAACACATATATACGGAATCTAATTTAAAAAAAAAAAGTTTCTGAAGAACCTAGGGGCAGGACAGGAATAAAGACACAGACGTAGAGAATGGACTTGAGGACATGGGGAGGGGGAAGGGTAAGCTGGGACAAAGTGAGAGAGTGGCATGGACATATACACTACCAAATGTAAAATAGATAGCTAGTGGGAAGCAGCTGCATAGCACAGGGAGATCAGCTCAGTGCTTTGTGACCACCTAGAGGGGTGGGATAGGGAGGGTGGGAGGGAGACACAAGAGGGAGGGGATATGAGGGTATATGTATATGTATAGTTGATTCACTTTGTTATAAAGCAGAAACTAACACACCACTGTAAAGAAATTATACTCCAATAACGATGTTAAAAAAAAAAAATAGGGGCTTCCCTGGTGGCGCAGTGGTTGAGAGTCTGCCTGCCGATGCAGGGAACATGAGTTTGTGCCCTGGTCTGGGAGGATCCCACATGCCGCGGAGCGGCTGGGCCCGGGAGCCATGGCCACTGAGCCTGCGCGTCTGGAGCCTGTGCTCCGCAACAGGAGAGGCCACAATAGTTAGAGGCCTGCGTACCGCAAAAATAAATAAATAAATAGATAGATAGATAAATAGAGATAACCATAAAAAAAAATTTAAAAAAAAAACCTAGCCCAGGGGTTTGCACGCTGCACTTATTCCTAAGTGTTAGCATCCTGTGCCCACCCTCACCCCCTCCTCGGTCCCCTGAATTCCCTCAGTTCACAGATCAGTCTTCACTCATGAGCCAGCTTTTCCCTCTGAGCCTCATTACACCTCCAACCACTGCTAGAAGCTGGAATTTGACAAGAAGCTGGAAGCTGACAAGAGGGCCTTCAGAAATGGAAGCCTCTGTATTCATTAAAAAGGAAGATATGTACATATGGATATGTACAAACACACACACACATGCACGCACACGCGCACGCACACATACACACACCCACACACACACTGAGCAGGGCCTGCCACAGCTAAGTTACGAGGGAGAGAGAGAAGCGGCCAGCTTCCTCCCCTACCTGGGCCCCCATCTCACCCCAGAGCTTCACAGGAGACAATTACATCCCATCAGCATTAATAGATTTATGAGGACAAACTGTACTAGGTACGTTGTTCCAAACACTGTACGGCAGAGCCCGCTCCAATGAATATTTCAGAAAATAGATCTACTTAAAGATAAATTAATATGTTCCATGGAATATACTTTCTGCAGCAAGAAGCAAACCACAGACACTGCAAGTGTGAATCAAAACACCCAGGCCTGCCAGTGTCTAAAACAGGTTTGCAAACTGTGGTCTCCTAAGGGCAGGGATGGAGTCTGGCACTCTCTGAAGCCCCCAGCCCAGCCAGGGGCTGGTGTATGGCAGGCGGAAGCGAAGCAAGAGTGATGGAAAGAGAGGAAAAAAGAGGGAGGGGGAGAGAACATGGCACCCCTCCCTCTGCTCCTCCTCCTTTTCAAATCCCTCACTTCAGAGGCTGCAGGAAGAAGTACCACATAACCTAGAAACCCAGGACCACAAGGTGACACCCATATTGAAGGCAACTGACCAAAGAGAAGAACCAAGACAACGGTTTACACCGAGCATATTTTTTTAGGGATGTAGATTTAAAAGCCAAATCATTACTTGTAACTTTTATTAATACATTTATACATATTTTAAATTAAAAATCCTATCCGTTATTATTTCCACCC